TTAGTGACCAATATCCAGTGCTTCCCCCATCACTTCATTTTATCATCTGTTTCTTCTATCTCTACATATCAGGACTTTTTTTGTGGGGGGGAGTGGTTTAAAGGCAGTTAAAAGGTAGTGGGATTATTAGAAGCCATGTTTCACACTTCACAGAGACCTAACTTGAGCATGAAGGTACGTTACCCACAGAAAGTATGTCTGAAGAACAGTGGTCCTGTGCTATGACGTCTGGAAGCTGTAGCTGGATGTGTCATTGAGTTGTTCTTCTTCATCGGAAGGGAGGTGAATTTATTGGCATATGTATAGTGGGATGGTTGGATTATGTAGGTGAGGGCATTTTTGGAATCACATATATATAGAAGATGATGTGTATGTGTTGGGCAAACAAAGGGTGGGCTGTGATGAACACCTGCCCTGTTGCTTATTTCTGAACCTTCTTCTCCTAGAAACCACCACCTCCACCTCCCCATCGTCCATAGGGCTATCATGCTAATCAGTTTGATCCTCATCCCTTGACCACTGTTTATTGGTCCAAAGGTAAGCATCTGAATTCAACCAATCAGAGAATTTCCTAAGGAATTTGCAAACCAAAAAAAGAAAAAGAAAAAAAAAGGAAGCAGCAGCTTAGTTTCTCTTTTATTTACTTATTTACTTATTTATTTATTTTTTGAGTTGGAGTTCCACTCTGTCGCCCAGACTGGAGTGCAGTGGCTGCTCCCGGCCACCACAGCCTCGACCTGCTGGGCTCCGGCGATCCTTCCGCCTCAGCCTTCCAAGTAGCTGGAACTACAGGCATGCGCCACCACACCCGGCTAATTTTCTGATTTATTGTAGAGATGAGGTCTCGCCAAGTTGCCCAGGTGGGTCTCGAGCCCGCAGGCTCAGGCAATCCACTCACCTCAGCCTCCCAAAGGCGCGGGATTATAGGCTGGCGCGGCTTAGTTTCTCTTTTGATGCCTAGACAATAAGATTTTAAACTCCGAAATTGTCCGAAGTCATGGCATTTTGTTTGTTTGTTTTGTTTTTACCATGTGGACCCGGAGACCATTGGAAGGGGATAGGGATGGGCATTTCAGAGGCTTAAGAAAGGGGGCAGGGAGGGAGTGGCATGGGAGGGAAATGAAGGAGGTAGGCAGAAAGAAGCAGATGAGAGGTGTAGAGAGATTCCTGATGGTTTTTGATCTCTTCATTTCAGTTGTTCCTGTGTCATTCCTGTCTTCAGGTCTCAGTATCTGATGTATCTTTTTGCCTAAACCAGTCCCCACTCTCCCTGGTTGAGCTCATCTACTTTTCTGGCTTAATTACTAACCACTCTTGCTGATAACTCACAAAATGTTATCTTCAGCCTGGGCCTCTCTCCTGAACCTCAGACCTTGCTTATCCAACAGCCTATTACACATTTGCACCTGGGTGTCCTACTGATACTCCAAATTCAACATATCCAAAACTGAACTCATCATCCCTCCTACCCCAGTCCCTCGCTGAAACTCACTTCTTCTCATGTGTTCTCTGTCTCAATAAATGGCATCACATTATCACTAGCCATTAACCTGGAAGTTATCCCAGTCTTTTCCTTCCTACTTACCTACCCTATCTATTCTCTAGGTCTCTAAGTCCTGACAACTGTAGCTCCCAAGTATCCTCAATGCTTTCCTGTTCTCTCCACTCCTATTCCCCTCCGTCATTTCAGTCCCTCATCATTACTCCTTGCCTTCACTCTCAAAAGCCTCAGTTGCCCCTTCCACCCAGTAGCCCAAATCATCCTTCTAATTTCTGGATATGATCATATTACTCTTCTGCTTGAAATTCTTCAATGATTCCCCACTGTTTTCAGGATAAAATCTGAACTGCAGCTGGGTCACAAAATTCACTCACATTACACTCAGATGTACCACGATATGTCTTCTCTGTTTCCTGTAACTGGTCTGATCTTTCTCACAATGTCCATACCCTGCTGGGTAACAGGGTAAGGGGGAACTAAAATTAATCCACTCTGGTAAGCGCTTTAGGATCCAATAATTTATTTTAGACAGTCTGTAAGTAATTCAGCAGCTTTGGATGACTCAGTCTTTCAGATTATTTTATCCTTTCCTTCTTTTTGAGATAGTATCTGGATTTATAGGGGTCTTATGTGAATTTCATGGCATTGGGGGAAGGGGCCCCTTAGTCACATGTTCCTTGGGATTGTGCCAGCTGGCAGCTGCTGAGATGTGATTGGTCTGGTTTAAAGAAGAGCTTCTAGGATGGAGAGTCGGGACTTCCACCTTGTCCACACTTATTTCAGCCAGGCCGAACCATCCCTCGGGGTACCCCACAGCCCGGCAAGGCACGACCCTGCACCAGCATTGGATGGGAACTCAGGAAATGTATCCAAAGAACTTGTGTTGCCAGAGATTTTCACACCTCCTAGGGCCAGGGAAGGTGGGGCCAACTACAAACCCTCTAATGTGGGGGTGTAGAGTCAGACCCAGGTGGCAGCGGGACGTGTGGACTGTAGGGGGCTTTCTAGATGCGGAGGCTCGGTATCCTGCCAGGTGTGGGGACGCAGGGCCTTCCTCCGGTTGCATGGACAAAGACCTCTTCCAGATATGAAGAGGTGGTCCGCAGAGGCCGTGGCCTTTCTCAGATGCCGGGTGTGCAGCTCTTCCAGGAGTGGAAGGTGCAAGAAATCCCTGCAGGAGGCCGAGTCTAGCCCCCAATCCCACCCCACCCCACCGCCTCTCCGGGGAAACAGAAGGGACAGCCGCCCGCCCCTTCAGTCCTCCTCTCGCCCCCCAGCCTGCACAAGGGGTGGGCCAGTCCCCACCCCAGCGCACGACCAATGGCGCGGGAGCCTGGCGCTGCCAGCCAATTGCAGG